AAGGCGGTTTCTTTTTTTTTTTTTCACGCCATTTCTCTGCACATTCCTTGTGTTTCTTCTCCATCGCTCTGACTATTTTGACAGATACTCACTGACACTGCACGCTCTCTTAGCCCAGAGGGGGAGGTGATTAAAGATGTGATTGGACTAGCCCAGTGTCAATCAAGAAAATTTTGACCTTATACACTGCAAAAAACAAAAGAAACAAACAAAAAAAAAATATATAAAAGTAAATTTAAGACTTAGTTATAACATAGATTTTGTGATAGATCTTATTATTTACTTCAGATTAGTTTTAATAAAATATATTTATTTTAAATGTCCCAAAGAAATAAACACCATATAACTTTCAGATTATTTTGTCTGCAACATTTTATGTAAGTCATTAAAAGTCCTGTTACAATTACCGTTTAACAATTAACAATACATTTTTACTCCTGTTAATTTCATATTGGTGTATTTCACCTGGGTAGTCTTACACCAAAACAAAACAACAGCAATAATGAATTTAATTAAAAATCTAATAAAATTATGTACATCGAGCCACATTTACACCTGTTTATTAACATGAATTTTCATCAATCTGATCACAAGAAATTAAAAAGACAAATGGCTGTTTACACATAGTCACTTTAAACGTGTATGTCACCATGTGTGATTGGATTTCAACCTACTTGAAAGTGTTAGGTTTCTGTCTGTGTTTGTTCCTTTTTTGTCGGTTCTTATCAGTGTATGGTTTTTCAGCTCATTGTGGTTTTACCAATGTACTTTAAATAAACTGGACTGCTCCATTTAAATACAGCTTTTATTTCATCCTCGTTTGCAATCATCATGGCCGAAAGTAGACAAGATCAAACTCATTCAGATCCTGATTACATCTGTATATCATTGTCCCAATATGATTGTATCTAAAAAAATATATAAGTTAATGCCAAGTGTATAGGACCTTGTTTATTTTTTTGAATCAGTGAATATTTACATACATACACATTCAATCACTAGTTTTTGTTGCTGAGAGGTAGACAGTAAAACAACAATATGGTAATCTCTACAATATCCTCGTTTATGTTTAAAAATATAAATAAGTTAAAAGATAGAAAATCATATCATGGTTTTAGCTTTGTTGTGTTCCTAGATCCATTTACCACATCCATGTTTTAGACATTCCAAATATGTATTATCAAGTATTATCAATTGTATAAGTTTTTGTATTTGAGCTAACATATCTGTTTAATACTAACAGTCTGAGTAAGTAACATTAAGCTCTCAAGTGTCTGCTTACTAAAGCAAGATTTATGACATACTCATCATATTTCATTTATTCCCCACCTGCTAAAACAAGGGCTGTCTTAGAAAATGTTAATGTGTTTAAGTATAAACATTGATATATAAACGTGTAAAAATACATGTGGTGTGATTTGACTGTATTGTAAACAGCTCTGCTAAATTACAGAGCTGATTGAAACATATCCCAATGGATGTGATCGGACGCTTTCTCACTGTGTTTTCAGTCCCTGAGTGGACTGAGCTGCAACCCCCACTACCTGCAGGACATTAGCATCTCTATGGAGAACGGCTTCAAAGGCCAGGCTGTGAAAGTTTACCTTAGACCTAAAAATACACATGCTTAAACAAGTCATCCTATACTTAAAACACTCTGAGGACTCTGCATGTATTTTTTGAGAGATTCAACAAGAGGAACTATTAATATGAGCTTTCGTTTCAGATGTGGTATAAAGGTTTAGTTAAACCAACAAAAATATGAATGCCCATGGTAATCTGCTACATCCCTATAACATCATTTGATTTATAAATGAGCAGATTTTTTATTTATTTTATTTTTTACATTGTGGTAAATTACTTTTTTCTGTCTTTTAAAATCTTTTAAATAGTAAATTAATTGGGGTTATACCAATGTATTGGTGAGTAAACAGTGAACTAGATTAAATATGCATGGAACTCCAAATAAACAACACATGGTCCAGTACTTTCTTAAAGGGATAGTTCACTTTGAAATTAATTTTTGATGTGTTTTATCTTACCTCAAGGGCATTCAAGATGTAGGTGTCTTTGTTTCCACAGTATTTTCAATTTTGACATTTTTCAACAAACCGTTGTTGTCTATCAGTCATACACTGGAGGCTAAGGGGGTCCACCAAAAAGCATGCACAGAGAAGTCCAAATTAAACATGATTTAATGACTCGTAAATGTAAGTACACATTGATGGCCTAAGACACGAAATGAGCGGTTTGTGTGAGAAAACCAACAGTATTTATATCGTTTTACCTCTTGTAATCACAGTGATCTGAATCTGTTGTTCAGTGTCCAACTGAACCGAACTGAATCAGTTAATGTTACGCCGGAAGTGATCGCTTGCGTGTGACGTCACTCAATATTTTACCCTTTTACTAAAACATATTTAGATATCCCGAAATCGTCTTCCATTGCGGTTTGGACTTCTCTGTGCTGCTCTTTGGTGGACCCCCTTCACCTCCAGTG